CCTTAGTCCACAGGACCTAAAAATTGCATCAGTTTTTTTAAAACATATTTTATTAATTTTTTACAGAGAGGAAGGGAGAGGGATAGAGAGTTAGAAACATCGATGAGAGAGAAACATTGATCAGCTGCCTCCTGCACACTCCCTACTGGGGATGTGCCTGCAACCAAGGTATATGCCCTTGACCGGAATTGAACCTGGGACCCTTGAGTCCGCAGGCTGATGCTCTATCCACTGAGCCAAACCAGTTAGGGCGAAATTGCGTCAGTTTTAAGTGTCCATTAAAAGTGAGATCAGAGTCCTTAACCTTTATCTATATATATAAAAGGCTAATATGCAAAGTGTCCCCTCAGGAGTTCGACCTGGAGATGGAGAGTTCGATCGTTTGCTATGACATGTGCTGACCACCAGGGAGTGGCATGGAATGAAGGAATGCTTTCCCCGGCAGCCAGCAGCTAAGGAAGAGAGGCCCCAGCCAGCAGCTGGAAGGCTCCATGCACAAATTTTGTGCATCAGGCCTCTAGTAAAGAGAATAAAAGGCAAACATGGAGAACTCACTGAATGGAGACATATCAAGGAAGATAATTGAGTATACAGGCCTCTCAGATCAGCAGCAATTTTTCAGTGATAATTTATGCTATTGCTTTGAACGGTAGCTTCATTCAAATGAGTCTTCCTGAAACACTTCCTGAGGAGAAAATCCTCACCCCTAAATGCATTCTTATAGAACAAAAACACTCAATGGATCCAATTCTGGTTGAAGATCAAACAGAAGGAAATCAGAAAGATTTTAAAAAATAGAATATATTTTCAGTCAAATGTGAAATTTCCTTTCCTAGAGAAACATTTCATTTTACTGCTGCATTGACTACACCTTTTCTGCTACCCTTCTAATATTCTCTGAAAGAATGTGACATAGTTAAGGACCACTTGGTAACAATTATGATTGATGAATGGAACTGCTGGAAGAAGTGCCAGGAACTGGCCAGGATGGACCTCAAAAGCAGCCTGGATTCTTAGTTCCCCAAGATAAGTCACATCATCACTTTCTCAATAGGTAAAGGAAAAAGAGGAAGCTTTGAAAAGGACCTCCATTATCAGTATAAACTTTACATTACAGTTATCCTGAAGAAAATTGTGCTGATCACAGATAACTGAAGAACACTTGCAGAATTCTTATAATACCCCACCTTTTCACACCCTAGAGATCTACATGTGTATTCTGCTTTAATTCATATCACTTGTCACTACCTGACATTATAGTAAATACCTGTTTATTTTCTGCCTCCCTCACTAGAATATAAATCCCACAGGGCAAAGACTTGGCTTGTTTTTCCTCACTGCTGTATCCCCAGAACCTAGTACACTGTCTGGTGTATGGTAAAAGCTTAATAAATATTAGTTGAATGAGTGAATGAATGAGTGAATACTAAAATTTAGGCTTATAGCCACTTGGGCTGAGTCTATAGCATAACACTGTTCTATGATCATACAAGCTATTTGCAAACTCATAGCTTGAGTTCTGCAGCACTAATAGAAACTGATCACTTGTATCTGAAAATGTCCATACCCTTTGACCAAGGAGTTCTACTGCTAAGATGTAGCCTAAATAAAAATATTTATGTACAAATATGAAAGATATTCATGGCAGTTTTATTTACAAAAGAGAAAAACTGGAAATAATGTCATTATTTATTAATAATAATAATTTGACATTGATAATTTAATGTCCAACAATAGGATATTAACTAAGAAAATTATGGTATACTAGAGGCCCAGTGCATGAATTTGTGCACAGGTGGGGTCCCTCTGGGTGGCCTGCAGGGATCGGGCCGAAACCTGCAGTCCAACACCACCTGCAGCTCCTACATGCTGCTCCCGCTCATCCCGGCCCCACTGTGCCTGCTGCAGGCTCGTGCTCAATCAGTCCTGAACGGGAGAGGCTCGCGCTGCTGCAGCAGCACTCACCAGCCATGAGCCCTGCATCTGGCGCCCTCCCAAGGGGAGTGGCCTGCAGGATAGGGCTGAAACTGGCTCTCCGACATCCCCCGAGGGGACCTGGATTGTGAGAGGGCACAGGCCAGGCTGAGGGACCCCACCAGTGCACGATTGGGCTGGGGAGGGACTGCAGAAGGGCTCCAGGGCATGCCTGGCCCATCTCGCTCAGTCCCCGATCGGTCAGACCCCAGCAGCAAGCTAACCTACCAGTCAGAGCATCTGCCCCCTGGTGGTCAGTGCATGTCATAGAGAGCCATTGAGCAGCCTTAGCATATCATTAGCATATTACACTTTGGTTGTTCGGTTGTTCTGCCATTCGGTCTATTTGCATATTACCCTTTTATTATATAGGATCTTTAAGACAGATTAAAATATTTTATGAAGTTTTAAATCATATATGTAAAGGCTTTGATAAATTGTTAAGGAAAAAGAGTAAAATCACAGTTGAATATATAGTATAATACTAACCAAGGGACATGCCAATTCTTAAATAATGTGGCATGATGGAAAATTTTTCTTGCATATTTTGGCATTCTTTTCTCCTTTCTGAACTTTACAAATTGTCTATGAGTAATCAGGCCATAATTTGATAAATGAAAAATATAAATTAAAAATGTAAAGATTCTATTTTGTGGCTCACTGATGATTTAATCTTTTTCTGGTGTCAATAAGTAAAATTGTTAATTACATGTAATACAAATGTATACTTAGAGATGCCATGAAGGGAAATAAAAACAATATTATGAATTTTTTTCTTGTCAATTCCTTCATGTAAGAAATGTTTTGCAAATAAAACTATACTTTTAATTCAAAAGTTTCATGTCAAAACTCCATAGGTGAGGGTGGCAATTTCTAATAAATTAGAGAAAATGGAAAATTGCTTTTAAAATATTTTCTTTTGTTTTCAGATTTTTTCCTCTCTTCTTACTTTAAGATGATAAATTAAATGAGGTTTTTTGAGGGAAAGCAAGTCTAAAAGAGAAAAAAATGGCCTTGGATTTTTAAAAAGATCTAATCTTTTGTCTCCAGGTTGAAGAACTCTAGTTCTTGTCAAAGTCTGACCTCACTCTCTTGAATCCTTTAAGACAAGACAAGAAAGGAGACTAGGTTGTTTTGGAACCACAAATCCACTTGGAGAGGCACTCTACACATTCAGGAAGCATGCTTATTCCTCCACTGGGTTGGACATATTAAAGCCAAAATGCTGGGAGAGACAGAGAGAGAAACATTGATGTGAGAGAGACACATCGATTGGTTGCCTCCCACACAGCCCCAACCAGGGCCAGGGATTGAGCCTGCAACCGAGGTATGTGCCCTTGACTGGATTCGAACCCAGCACCCTTCAGTCCACAGGCTGACTCTCTATCCAAACTCTAGCCAAACTGGCCAGGGCCAGATCAGTGTGGGTTTTTGTTTGTTTTATTGATTTTTTTTATCAAGAGGAAGGGAGAGGAATAGAGAGTTAGAAACATTGATGAGAGAGAAACATTGATCAGCTCCCTCCTACACACCCCCTACTGGGGATGTGCCTGCAACCAAGGTACATGCTCTTGACCAGAATTGAACCTGGGACCCTTCAGTCCGCAGGCGGATGCTCTAGCCACTGAGTCAAACTGGTTAGGGCACAGATCAGTGTTTTTAAGAGCTTCCACACCCCTACAAGGCTGCCTCCAACTTCCCCCAGGATAAAGAGAAAAGTGGAAGTTCCAGCAGGTGGGCCCAGGCCCTTCACACCCATACCTGCTGTGTTAACTGTTTTATGTTTGATAAATTGTTAGGGGAAAAGAGTAAAATCACAGTTGAATATATAGTATAATACCAACCAATTATATATAGTATAATACCAATCAATGTTTCTCTCTATTTTACCTCCTTACCAGCAAGTTATGTTTTTGAACAAAGAGTGCCAGGCTTAAAAATACCTTAGTATTCCTAAAGCACACCCTATTTTTAAATGCAGAAGCAAGCTCACAATTTCCTCACAGCAAGAAGTCAAGAGGAGCTAGAGGAAGGATTTAATTGCATTGACTAGTTTATCTAGAAGCCATTTGTCTAGGTTTAGGACTGTATATGTGGCCGTGACTAAACACGGAGTCACGGCTCTGCAGAATTATAAGGAGATCCCAAAAGTGGGATATTTTTTCTTGGAAAGGGATGGGTAAGCTCCCTTTGAAATTCTTACTGCTAAGATGAAAGGGAGACCTGGTAACAAGTGCTTTGTAGTCCCAAAGCACGTCCACATGTGACATCAGCTCCTCACACCCTCACAGCAACCCTGTGGGAAAGGTGGTGTCATTCTCATTTGCCAGAGGAGGAGAGGGAGGCACAGAGAATCTAAGTAACTGGCTGAAAGCCCCTCTATTAATAAGAGGAGAAAACAGCTCTTTGCTGCTTCAAGTTTAGAACTTTTATTACCCATGATGGCCCCATGGAATGTTCCTGGCTGGCATGCACTTGCAGCATTGTGGGACTATTTCATTTTTCCAAATTGTTACCTTATTTGTTTTAGTTTAGCTCTAAATCCACTACCCTTACCTATTACATCATATATGCTGTGTGTGTGTGTGTGTGTGTGTGTGTGTGTGTGAATGCATACACATACACACACACACACGCATAAACATGCTGGGGGACAACTGTTTTTTTTGTTGTTGTTTTTTACATTTTATTTCGTTTTAAGTGCACTTTTAAAAGATAAAAATCTTAGATTGAGGTTGAAGACTGATGTGATTCAACCAAATTTTGAGTATGCTAAATAGCATTTTTGGACTGAAGCCTGAGAAGTAATTCAGTCCCAACAAAGGGGAAAAAATTCTTTTCCACTTTAAATGAACCATTTTCCCCCTTGAAAACATGATGTAATTTTTTTTTATAAAAGAAGAGCAAAGAACTTTTGTTACCATCTCCAGCTGTCAAACTTGCCTCCCATATTTCTGCCCTGCAGCAAAAGGAAGGGACATCAGGTGACAGACCCCAAATTTCAACTAGTCACACAAATTACCCACCTTCCTCTCCATAGATAGTCTTGTCCTTTTGCCTTTCCCCTACAATGAATAATGAGACACGGTTTAAATCAAAATGACTCTCATCAGCAATTTTACAAAACCAATACAAGGCACAGTCTCCCTTCCCCTCCCCCGACGCCCCAGGTTCCCCGGCTGGGCCAGCCTGTTCCCTTTTCCATGCAGGCAGGAGCTAACGATTAGAAAGACCCTCCCCACCCCAGACAATGATGCTCTGCCTGCCAAAGGCTCTGTTTACTTTGAAGAAAGAGTCTGACAAAGTAAATATTTACAAAAACAACTATACCCAGATGCCAAGCCCCACTTCTGGGGGACCCGTGGAGCAATATTTACAGGAAAGGGCTTCTCGGTGTGGGACCGCACTGCCCAGTGCGGGGCACTGATCCCAGGTCTGTTCCGGCTCTATCTGGAGGCCAGTCATATCACAGTCTCTCTCTTGGCCTTGTAACTTCCAAGCTGGGGCACTTTTCACAGAGTGTATGAATAATTACATTTACTGCTGAAGAGTCAGTTAAAGAATGTACCAATTTGGGACACAGGAAGGAATCTTTAACTATGACTGCTTCTAGCAGGAGGGAGAAAAGCTTCGTGAAGTCGATAGGAAATTAGAGGCAGGCTTAATTAGTACTTAGAAAATGTCATTCTTTAAAAAAATGTTTAAGCTTTTAATTCTTTCAGCTTAACGCTTCAAACCTAGTCATCGTTGTATTACCTGTAGATCTGTTGTCTGCAAAACGGTGGGACCTGGGAGCTAGAACACGGTGGGAATCGAAACAGGTGCCCTGCTTGTTCCCATTACACACATTAGCCCGTGGCCTTCGCACAGCCTGTTAAACAGCTGAATCTGAAACAATAATGGTGCAGGCCAAACGCTAGCCTGGGGGTCTGTCTGTCTTGGGATTTGGCCATTTACATTGATTTTTTTTTAACTGACAGTTTTCATGAAACACAAATATTTGCCATGGCAACTGGAGTGTCACATGACATGCTGCTACATAAACAGCTTGGAAATCTAAGAGGAAACAGCCCACCAGCGCTGCAAATACAGTGAAAACATCTTGAGGAGGATCTGGGCATTAAAAGATGGAGGTCTGGGAAGAGCAGGTAACAGACTACAATGTAGACACAGTAGGATTAATTTTTTCTATGACATTTTAATTTCTCTCTTTTCTTTCTTTTTTTTTTTTTTAAATGGGAGCAGCTGTAAACATGACCACATAGGGTCAGGCCAGAAAAAGACACTGCCAGCTGTCTCCTTTCTATGGTGAAAAGTTTCAATTATCGCAGGTCTGTCTGAGGTCATAAACATAAGAAAGCAAGCTACAAAAGCCCAGCACCTTTAGGCCAAGAGAATCTCCATGAGGGTGAATATGTTGTACTGTGAGGTCCCAGTGTCAGAGAATATGCCTTCCTCATTAAGGCACCCGTGCAAAATTGGAGAACTTGGCTTAAAGACAAGTGAAAGACAGCAAAACCTCACAATAACACACTACGCAGCACAGATTTGGATGTAAAGCAATAGCTATTGTGTTCTGACTCCAGGACTCTGATCCAGCTAGCAGTATAGGTTGACCCAATCATTTAGTTAATCTCACAATAATCTGACATGACTGATAATGTCACCGCAGAGTTTACTTGTATAACAATCTCCGCTTTTAAACATCAAATGCATCCCCGAAACAACTGAAATGGTGTTGATTTCTATGTGAAAGGTATAATTCCATAACACATGATTACTATAAATCTCACTGAGAATATTATAAAGAAGAACAATTTTCTTTCATTAGCTAGGAATAGGAATACCTTTGCTTTTTGTTTCTTGGGAGAGATCTCCTTCACTACTTTTGGAATCGGCTTTGGTTTTTGAGCTGCACCCAAAGGGCCTATGGATGGAGATAGTACAAAGTTACCTGTTTCAGAAAGAGAGGCTGAGTCATTGGGTTTGATGGGGAAAATGAGACATTTGGGGGGCCTTTAGGTGTGGTCTCACGGCCCCCATCCCAACACACTGGGCTTTTCGCAAAGCCCGCGAAAGATCCAGAAGTCCCATCCCATATTGGGGGGACAAAGAAACCAAAGGGTATAAAGGGAGAGCTTCCTCCATATTGGTTTGCTCAGGATTTGGAGAGAAACAGTCTCCCCTGAGTCCTGCACTAGTACATGTGAAACATCTGAAAATAAATGGGTTTTTCCTGTGCCTCCGGTATCCTGCGTATTTTTTGGTCGCCTGGTAAATTTTGTAACAGGTTAATGCTATTGGGTTTGCACCTTGAAAGTAAAATCGTTCTGTCACCCATTGTCTGTTCACTGTCAGTCTTTCCTATATCAAGTCAATGAAACATTTGTGATCATTGACTTCAGAAGGAAAGCAAAAAGCATAACTGCAATTCCATCAGAATATAAGGTCAGCTCGCCTTCTGCAAACTGCCTAGGTGAGAAGGCAGATTTTAAAAGCAGGCAAATTAGAGAGCACTAGTTGTTTTTTAAAATGTTTCCCTGTAAGATTTCTTTAAATAGCCAAGTTCATTTACAAGGTAAATTATTATAATTACATATGATGGACTATTCTATTGTGTAGTCATTAAAAAATGATTCTAGAGAATTTAAATGGCTTGGGGAAATAATGCAAGTGAAAAACACAATAAATATTATGTTTTGAAATTCATTAAATCTAGAAGCAACTTTTGGAGAACACATCTAGTCCATAGCATCTAGCTCATGTGTAGCACGTAAGCCCACATACTAGTCAATTCTTGGGAGAGAAATCATATCCCTCCTGTTGTCTGCAGCAAACCCACCTGCCCTTTACAAACAGTCTGTCTGACAGTCTCAGGAGAGAAAAATCCTTACACTACTCTTTCCAGGAAGAAGAACAAATAATTTATTTAAGTAGTTAGTTGAATCAAATAAATGAGGCTTCCTTCAACTCAGTTCCTTAGTCCACCCATTTTCTGTCAATTTTTAGCAACAATCTTAGGAAGACTTGATGGTTATTGATCAAATACAGCATGTCAGTGTACAATTCAGAACCCCATACCTTGAGAATTCAGTCTCTCACATTGCCTCAAGTGGGGTGCAAGGAATATCCTCAGCCATCTCTTAAAAATTGGCAGCAATTCTAGACTCTCATCAGTAAAAATCAACTCCGCAAAGGGGATTTGTTTGTTGCATTGGACTAACCCAAGTTCACCCCTTTCCTGGTTTCCCTGGTTTCCCGTGAGCCTCCCTGACTGTGAGACTGCCCACCACCTTCTCTGAGTCTGGGCACTTGGCTGTAGTGTGTGGAGACTCCATCTTAAGCCGACAGGTTTCAGCCTGGACCTCTGTGCTCTTCTGCCATGGGTCCACTTGGACTAGGCCTTCCCTCTTCTGAAAGCCAGTCTACCCCCTGCTCCCACACTGCTTTGAATCCGGAGAGTTACCCTTGTATAAGGCTTGTTATTCCTGTATCTGCAGTCTCAGTTCACGTTTTTTTGTAGTTTATCTTCACTCAAGAATTTTTTATTTGATTTTTTTAAAGAGAGTGGGAGAGGGAGAGACAGAGAAAGAGAAAGATCGATGTGAGAGAGACACATCGATTAGTTGTCTCCCACACTGCCATGACTGGGGCCAGGAATTGAACCCAAGACACTTCAATCTGTGGGCTGATGCTCTATTCACTGAGCAAAACCTGCTAGGGCTCCATTCACTTTTTAAAAAATATATATTTTATTGATTTTTTACTGAGGGGAAGGGAGAGGGATAGAGAGTTAGAAACATCGATGAGAGAAACATCGATCAGCTGCCTCCTGCACACCCCTACTGGGTACATGCAACCAGGGTACATGCCCTTGACGGGAATCGAACTGGGACCCTTGAGTCCGCAGGCCGACGCTCTATCCACTGAGCCAAACTGGTTAGGGCTCCATTCACTTTTTAATTTTCAGGTTCTTGCAGCCAAGTGAAATTTAAGTTCCCCTATTGAGACAAAGTAGCAGCTAACAAATGTTCAAGTGGGCATAAGTTAAAAAGTAAGATGTTAACAAAATTTGGTAGGATAAAAATCTAAAAATATTTGTAATTACACATGGATAATCCACAGTTAATAATATCTCTACAAAAATCTTACAGTTTTTCTTAGTCACCTGCAGAAATCCTGTCACTAAATTATAACTTCAGGTAGCCTTGGATTTTATGGGACACATGCAATTGAAGAATGTGTCTGCATCTTCAGCAAAACGATATTCTAAGGTATTTACAATTCTGCTACTCAATTTCCCTTCTGGAAAAGTCTATGATAAATTTTGCCCATGTTAATGTCGGGAGGAAAAAAACCAGTCTTTCTGGTCAAACTTGTATGTTTCTGTGGCTGTTAGAGATCGGTGTCTGTCAAGCAGCCATTCCTTTTTTCCTTGCAGATTTTAGACCCCAGTTTTTTCAGGGTAACAATATGCCCAGCACCTGGGGTTGGCTGTTGAGCAAAAAAATCTTTTTAAAGGACACATAGTTAAATATTAATTTTAGATACATAACATTTTACTGTAAGTATGCCCTGATATGAAATATGGTTAATATCTAACAAAGAACAGAATTTTCATGATTGGCTTAGACCAGTGGTCGGCAAACTGCGGCTTGTGAGCCACATGCGACTCTTTGGCCCCTTGAGTGTGGCCACGAAGTTTCAATCACACTGTACGTGCACGCCTGCACGTGGTATTTTGTGGAAGAGCCACACTCAAGGGGCCGCAGTTTGCCGACCACTGGCTTAGACCAAGTATAACTTAGTATATAGGGTAAGTATGTCCCGAATCCTAACCCTAACCCTGCCCCTGGACATTCAGTTTTCTAGCCTTTCCTGTAGCTAACAGTGGCCATGTGACCAATGAGTTGTAAGGGGAGGTCCATCTAGGGGTATCCACTATTTTCCCGTCTTTCTGCCTGCAATGTGTACATTAAGGCCCAGATCTGCAAGAGACCCCTTAGAGCCAAGAGGTAGCGAACATGAGGATGAACTCTAACAGGCTGAAGACTTCGAAGCAGAAAGAGAGCCCTTAACAACGCTGTTGATCAAGCACGACCAGCCCTAGACTGCCTCCTTCCTGACTTCTTACGTGTGAGACAAATGAACCTCATTATTTTAAGCCACCAGTAGTTATGGTTGCTGATATTTGCAGACACATACATTCCTGACTGGCACCCCTCCCTCCGGCCATTCTTTGTCTTATTGCATGTGCTGGGGCCTCAAGGACAGTGTTCAATAGTGGTGGCAGGGGTGGTCATCCTGGAACTACTTTTAATGGAGAAACAGTATGCTTCTACAGTTTCTCTACAGTTACCATCCTATGACTTAAAAACAAATACTGGGGTTTTGGTTGAAAACAATAATCAGGTTCAGAATATTCCCTTCTACTTCTACTCTGCCCAGAGGTCCCCCCCCCCTTATCATTAATGTTGAATTATATTGAATGACTTTTTTTTCAATTTGGAATATACTGAGATCATCATTGGGTTTATCTTTTTAAATCTGTTACTATTAAGAATTATATTACTAGGTTTTCCTAATATTCTTCCTTGATCATGGTGAATTTTTAAAATACTGCTAACTTTTATTTAAAATTTTTGTCTCTATGTTCCTGAGATTGATCTCTCTCTATTTTTAAAAATATATTTTTATTGATTTCAGAGAGCAAGGGAGAGATAGAAACATCAATGATGAGAGAGAATCATTGATCGGCTGCTTCCTGCATGCCTCACACTGGGGATTGAGCCCGAAACCCTGGCATGTGGCCTGAACGGAAATTAAACCCTGACCTCCTGGTTCATAGGTCAACCACTGAGCCACACTGGCCAGGCAGAACTCTCTATATTTTTTCTTGCACGGTCCTCATCCAGTTTTGGTTTCAAAGTTAGACTAGCTTCATAAAATCATTTGGTAAGATTTCCTTCTTTTCTCTTTCTATGGGATAGCATAAAATAAGAATTACCTTATCCTTTAAAGATGGTAAATCTTGCCTATCTGAGGCTTGCGGCATTATTTCCTCTGGTTTATTTTTATGTTCATGCATGTGTGCACCTGTCCATGTGTGTTTAATTTGGAGATATTTTTGACTGCCAATTAAAATTATCTAATGAAATTGTTTTCTTTAAGTTTCCTATTTTTTTTCATGAGTTAATTTTTGCAACTTATATTTTTCTAGGAAAATTTTCATTTCATTAAAAAAATATTGGTACAAAGTTACCATCCTATGACTTAAAAAATATTCTATGTATCTGTAGTATCTGTCTTAAATATTATTTGTGCCTTTATTTTAAAAAAAGCCAGCTTTTTGAGAGCTTAATTGGCAAAATTGAAGATATTTTAAGTGTACATTGTGGTGATTTGATCTGTGTACCCAGTGTGAAAGGATGTCCTCCATCTAGTTCGTTAACACGCCCATCACCTCACATGTTTAACTTTTCCTTTATTAGTGAGAACATTTAAGTTCCACTCTCTTAGCAGATTTCAATTACACAATACAGTGAATCAACTATAAACTATCGTTACCATGTTTTAGATGGCATCCTCAGACATCATTCATCTTATAGCTAACGGTTTGCATTCTTTTACCAACTTTTTACCTATTTTCCCCACCCCTTTACATCCCGAGCAACCCCTTTTCTACTCTTTGTTTCTATGAGTTTGATTTCTTTTTTAAGTTTCCACATATAAGTGGTACCATGCAGTATTTGTTTCTCTGTCTTACTTATTTCACTTAGCATAATGCCCTCCAGGTTCAGCCATGTTGTCACAAATGGCAGGATCCTCATTTTTAAGTGTAAATAATATGCCATTATATATACATATATCAATATCTATCTATCTATCTATCTATCTATCTATCTATCTATCTAGTCATCTATCAACAGACACTCATGTTATAGCCACACCTTGGCTATTATGCATAATGATGCAATGAACATTGGGTACAGACATCTCTCAAGATAATGACTTTGTTTTCTTTGGATAAGTACTCAGAAATGGAATTGCTGGATCATATGGTCATTCTATTTTTAATTTCTTGAGGAACCTCCTTATTGTTTTCCATAGGGGCTGTACCAGTTTACATTCCCACCAACATGTACATAGATTCTCTTTCACCACATCCTTGCTGGTATCTGTTATTTCTTGTCTTTTGATGATAGCCATCCTAACAGGTGTGAGGTGATGGCTCATGGTGGTTTTGATTTACGTTTCCCTGATGATTAGTGATGTTGAGTACCTTTTCATGTCCCTGTTGGCCATAAGTTTGTAGTCTTTGAAAAAATGTCTATTCTGGTCCTTTGCCCATTTTTTAATTGGGATATTTATTTTTTTGCTATTGGGTTGTATGAATTATTGTATATTTTTTGTATATTATCCCTTTATCAGATATGTGGTTTGTACATATTTTATCTCATTCCTTAGGCTGCCTTTTCATTTTGTTGGTGTTTTCCTTTGCTGTGCCTGAAGAGCTTTAGTTTGATATAGGCCTACTTGTTTATTTTTGTTGCTGTTGCCTTTGCTTTTGGTGTCAAATCCAAAAATCATTGCCAAGACCTTACCCCCCTTATACTTTTTTCTAGCAGTTTTACAGCTTCAGGTCTTATGTTTAAGTCTTTGATAAATTTTAAGTTGATTTATGTATATGGTGTAAAATAGGGATGGAGCTTCATTCTTTCTCTCTCCATGTGAATCTACAATTATCTCAAATTCAAAAGTTTAATTAAAAAAAGACACCAGTAAGAATATGAAATGCCAAGTCACAGAGTAGGAATAATTGTTTGCAATTCATATAACTGATAAAAGATTAGTATACAGAATTTATAGTTAATTCATTTTTTCTTGCTTAATCCTCACCCAAGGATATTTTTTTCATTGATTTTTAGAGAGAGTACAAGGGAGGGAGGGAGTGGAAGGAGGAAGAGAGAGAGAGAGAGAGAGAGAGAGAGAGAGAGAGAAAACATCAGTTGGTTGCCTGTCCTGTATGCACCCTGACTGGGGATGGGACCTTCAGCCCATGTGCACAGGCCAAAGCTCTAACCACTTAGTCACACCGGCCAGGGCCACAACTCATTTTTTTTTAAAACAGGTTAAAGTCTTAACTCACCTTTAAAAAAAGAATATACTCAAATGACCAGTACACATCCCAAAACTGCTCAACTTCATTGGTTATTAGGGAAAGAAAAATTAAACGCACAAAGAGATACCACAACAGACTTGCCAGGGTGGCTAAAATTTAGAAAGTAAATGACTTGCCTGAGGTTCTGCAACTAAGTAGTAGATTCAGGTCAGTGCTTTTCCTGAGCACCCTATTCCATGCAGCCTCCTCTTTGAAGTCTTCTTCTAGCACCTCAAGCTCTCAGTAGTCATTGCTCTGAGCTCGTGCAGCATTAGACTTTAACATCCATTTGGTTTTCATTCTCTACTACTTAGTATTGGTATTTACCTTTCTCTGTCTTGTTTTCCCAACCACGCTGCAAGCCCCTTGGAAATCCCAACCTTCTAACACACAGAGAACACAGGCCCGTAGTAGGTATTCTACAATGAGACTGAAGTTACTTTACTCAGTAAAGTGAAACCTAGAATCATTACAGTTTTCCTCTTTTCCTATTATTGAAGGTCAGAGTTGGATAGTGGGAGACTAGATTTGGGTGGGAGGTAATTTCTGTGTGTCCCCAGCTAAGCATACCAGCCAGGCTATCTTACCAGCAGTTGGAGTCTTATGTGATTCACCAAATTTATGCAGAGTAGCCGCTCTGGGTACAATGGGCGGATTCTGAAGGGTAATCTTTGCTGTTGGTGGAATCAATCCTCGTTCTATCATACTTAAAACCCCTAAAAAGGAAGGTTAGAAGAATATGAGTTTAACTTCCAGCATTTCCCCACAGTCTGAGCGCAATACATTTCACAAGTGTAACTTACTCAATTCATCATCTTATTTGTGAACGTATATCTAGTGCCTTAATCCTTTGCATGAAAAAATAGCTACAATACCTGTTTATTTAAGCCTAAAGTGCTAATCCAAGAAAAAAAATGGCATTTCCAATAATGGCAAAATGAAATAAACTTGTACTAAGATCATTTCATTTTAAGGTAGAAATATAATTTCAAGGCAAACTTCAACTTCTCATACTTATGACATTTTCAATTATCTTACCTAATAATAGATAAACATGTAAATTGACCGTCCCTCCACTACGCGCACCAGCCAATCAGGAGAGTATGCAAATTAACCCAACAAAGATGGCAGTTAATTTCCATACATAGGCGTGTAGTGGCGGAGCAAAGACTGAAGGCCTCGGCTGCCGGGTGCTGGAGGAAAACCAGTGCCAGCAGCCAGGGGAAGGGAAGGCCTATTGCACGAATCTCTTCATGCAACAGGCCTCTAGTTGATAATATTGTTATTTCCTTTAAAATTCAGAGAAATAAGCCTGGCCAGCCTGGCTCAGTGGTTGAGCATCGACCTATGAACCAGGAGGGCACAGTTCAATTCCCAGTCAGGACACATGTCTGGGTTTCAGGCTCAATCCCCAGTGTGGGCGTGCAGGAGGCAGCCGATCAATGATTTTCTTTCATCATTGATGTTTCTATCTCTCTCCCTCTCCCTCTCTCTCTCAAATCAATAAAATATACTTTAAAAAATAAAATAAGGTAAAATTCAGAAAAATCGGACACATAGTCTTAATAACTAAAGAGATCTTTTGTTCTGAAAGAAGGGAACTCTGTGTGCTTGAAACCATGCCCTTGTTGTTATAATGAGTCATATTTTAGAAGAGTTATTTTTGGACATTTTTCATGTCACCAGAACATGTGAATGCCTAAAGAGGTTATTTTAGTGTAACTGGGCAACACATTAGTATTAATGCAACTAATTTACAATTCCTGGAACTCATACTGTGTCGGCATGGCTGGTGCCAAGGCTTTTTAAGGACAAGACATTGTTAAATAAATAAACAAATGAATAAATCGATGAATAAATGAATAAAGCTTGCTGTCAGGGGCAAAACTTTCATTAAGGTGGATCTATTGTATTGAAGCCAGAAACCCAGAAACTCTGGGATTTCTTGACAGAAACTTGTGATAGGGCTTTAGCCCCTTGTTGCTCTCATATAATAAGAAGAGTAAAGAACGTTGGGTCTCAATAAAATCCTAGTATACAAACTCTGTACCAAGGTGGACTAAGTTGAAGAAGTTGACACACATTCTAAGAGGGACAAATATTACTTCCATTTGCCTTATGACCTCTAATGACTATATTATGTTATTATTAAAAGTGTTTGCCCTGGCCAGTATGCCTCAGTTGGTTGAGCATCATCCCAGGCACTGAGAGGTGGCCAGTTCAATTCTCAGTCAAGGCACATGCCAGGATTGTGGGCTTGATCCCCAGGAAGGGGGGTGCAGGAGGCAGCTGATTGATGTTTCTCTCTCTCCCTTTCTCTTCCTCTCTCTCTAAAATCAATAAAAACATATTTAAAAATGTATTTTAAGGTGTTAAAGTCTAGTGTTATAGGAACTCAGAAAAATGACTACTGAGGGATTGGTGGGCTAAAGGAGACTTCACTTCATTATGAAGAATTATTCAATTTACTTACTGCAGAATCATCTGGGGAGAATTTCTTATCACAAATGCAGATTCCTGGGCCCTCCAAGACCTGCCCAATTTTCTGCAGTCAGTGCCTTGGAATATGCATTATTGAATATGTACCCTGAAGTTTAAGAACCACTAGAATTGAGACCCAGTAACCTACATTTTAAATAAGCACTCCAGGTCCTCCTTTTATACTCTGAAAACTTAAGAACTACTTACTGATCCAGAGTACAATTCCTCAAGCCCTTTTTGAAATAAATACTAATGCTTTAAAATATGTAGACTAATTCTTTGTCCTCACAAATATTTTCCACCTATAAATATCAAATCTCACTTCCAAGAACTACGCCTGTTTTGCAGATGTGAAAAGCAGAGCTCCTTTTCAGTATATTTTTATTGTGAGAGTGAGGCTCATTCTCTGAAAATCCCAAAGAACAGAAGCATGATTTTAACCCTTGCTTTAGTACAGGTTGAAGCAATTCGCTTAATTTAGACAAACACACACGTGTTACATTTACCATTGAAAAGAAAACGTTAAGACTATGGAATAAGCAAGACAGACTAGTAAATAGCTTTGCATTAAAATGCTGGGCACCTCTAGAGATGATCAGACCGTATAATCGCCTTTGGTTTTAGTTAGTCTATTTTATAATTCTGTAGAGATTAAGGCTAATTTATAGAAAACTGAAAGCAATGCAAATAGTTCTTGTTTATACACATGCCAATAAATCCTGTCACATGGAGGGACAATTCTCCCCCCAACCCCAGAAAGCCAGTTTTGCACCTACTTGCACATTTATTTCCGTACTTTTATAAATGTGTCTGTTGTTGGGATTAGCCTTTGAATCAATTGGAACATTTATTAATTTCCTCATTTAATTAATGAGTTAAATAACACTCTTAACCTCATTTTCTATTTGTATGAGTCATGATTTTACTTTAAAACATATAAATAAAATATCCTTTAACAATTTTGGAGACCCCACTAAGATAAGCAAAAGATTCACCTGAAATTGCCAGAAATGGTGTAGCTCATACAGAACGAAGCCAGGCACAGATTTTTCTTGGCTCCCACAGGTGAATTCAAAGTGGAAACAGAATTTTGTTGACTCTGTTTTTCTCATTTTAATACAACTCCCTATTAATCCTGTGTTTTGTTTTAGTTTTTGGTTCATTTACGGCTGATAAGTTATTCCTGTTGTAAGCTAAAATGACTGGAAATTTGGTGATCTCTGTATATGGATTAATGTCTTCTGCTCCCAGTTGAGTGAGAAACAATGGAGAATATAGTTTGGTAGTTTTTTTGTTTGTCTATTTGTGTATTTTGAGCAAAAATCAATTAGGATTTTCATGCCCACAAGAAAGGAGAATAACTGATATCTGGACCATTACGTTTTTGTATTTCTGTGTTTATTTTAATCTGTGTATGAAATTGTAGAATGGAAGAGATAGGCTTTTTCTGTATCTACATGTCTATGTATCTAAAATTCAGAAAGGCCTTTATCTCTCACTGCAAATGTATGAGTCTGTATGAGAAATTTCCTGTCTACAAATGGCATTAATCAATTAGATTGTAAAGTCTCTTAAATTAAAGGAGGTCTGTTCTGATTGAGTTATAGAGAGAAATAATGCTTATGTAATAAATTGAATATTCCTAAAATTCCCAGAAAATAAACTTCTAATTCTTTAGATGTGACCCCCTCTCACTTCACAAATTCAGACAGTCTCATTACATTTTAAAAAAGTTCTCACCTGAGAATATGCTTAGAGAGAGAGAGAGAGGAAGGGAGGGAAGGAGAGAGAAACAATCCATAAATGCCCCAACCAGAGATTGAACGCAAAACCCAGATAATGCCCTGATTGGGAATTGAAACGGCAACCTTTCGGTGCACAGGACGATGCTCAGCCACCTGAGCCACTCCAGCCACGCAGTGCCTCCTTACTTTTAATGGCAATATAGTTGTTTGCATAGTGTCAATAAGAATCTGTTTTCCTTTTACTAAGATACTAGAGGCCCGGTGCATGAAAATCGTGCACTCGGGCGGGGGTAGGGGGGTCCCTCAGCACAGCCTGTGCCCTCTTGCAGTCCAGGAGCCCTCGAGGGATGTCTGACTGCCGTGGAGGTGGGAGAGGCTCCCACCACTGCCACTGTGCTTGCCAGCCATGAGCCCGGCTTCTGGCTGAGCCGCGCTCCCCCTGTGGGAGCGCACTGACCACCAGGGGGCAGCTCCTGCATTGAGCGTCTGCCCCTGGTGGTCAGTGCGCATCATAGCAACCAGATGTTCTGCGGGTTTTGTCGATTTGCATATTAGCCTTTTATTATATAGGACTAGAGGCCAGGTGCACGAATTCGTGCATGGGTGTGGTCCCTCAGCATGGCCTGCAGGGATTGGGCCAAAACTGGCAGTCCAACGCTGCCTGCCACTCCTGCCTGCTGCTCCACTCATCCTGGTCCCACTGCACTTACCATGGGCTCGTGCCCAGTCAGTCCTGATCGGGACTGCAGGGGAGCTCGCCAGCAGTGAGCCCTGTGTCTGGTGCCCATCCCGAGGGGGCAGGGGGCCGGAATGCAATCAGCCCTCCAGGTGGGCAGTGGGATGCCCTTGCCAGCCCAAGATTCGGATCCGTCCCATTGATGTTTGCGCAGGTTGTCGGGAGCCACCTGGTGGCCACTTTTATTAGTTTCTTCCTTGCAGAGCTAGTGAGGGGAAGCGGCCACAGTGCCTGAGGCCAACTTCCAGGAGGCTAGTGGCACTGGTCCATAGGTGCCGGGCCCGTTCTCTGGAGATTGAACCTGCGGGACTACTGAGGGAGTGAGTGGCTATCACTGGGCTGGTGGGCCGCCAGGATGGGTCAGTCAGCTGAGCATCTGCCCCCTGGTGGTCAGTGCACGTCATAGTGACAGGTTGTTCGGTCGTTTTGGTTGTTTAGGCTTTTATATAGATAGATAGTTAGAAAAATGGGAATTTAATATTTAAGAATAATGCTTATTAATCAGGTATAATAAATCACTTTTAAAGAATTAAGGTTGACTTTATGATGCTAATGCTTACAAAGCCTCCCAAACTGGCCAGTTACAAAGTTTACAGGTAAGGAACACTTCTTGGCAGGCCTGAGACCCTTAGAATATTTAAAGTACCTCTGGGAGAGAGGAATTTACCCAAATGTACAGGTCCTGTCGTTGAAATACAGTGGACAGAGTTTCTTGGGCTTGATTTCTAGCCTCTGTAAAGTAAATAACAGAGGTTTTTAAAGTTCTATCTGAATTCCTTAGGAAGACTTCAGCAGAGCAAATTTGAAAGGCCATACATGGTGAATTAACATTCTCGCTACCCCTATGTAAACAACCAGGCCAAACCTAATGAGACTAACCTTAGTCTGTGAACATGTATATATATTTTTGGAGATCACTTTGATCCTACTGGGAGAAGACTGTAAGAAAAGTATTTTTTTTTTAAGTTTTGGAATAAGCAAAAGAGATGGCTGATGCCTTTTCAATGGAATGCTGCAGCTGCCAGGGATTATCTGGGCCTAGTCTCGGAGGATACTATTTTACAACTGTAGAGATTAAGGTTGACTTGCAAAAAAATCTGATAATAATGAGAATAATTCTATCCATAGGCATAAATGGAAATTCTGTCTGGTGTAGGAACATGGAAAAGCCAGTTTTGCATCCATTTGTGAATTTATTTCAATATTCCAGTCCTACAAATGGATGTTCTCAGGATTCTCCTTTAAGCCAGTTGTGCTGTCTTACAGATGCTCTCTTTTAATTGATGAGGTAAATAAAACCTTTGACATGTGTTCATTTTATATTTGTATGAGTCATGATTTTACATGTTTTTAAAAATTACCTTTCAATACCATTGTCTCATTACATTTTCTTAACACTCCTACTTTCCTGTTGAACAGATTAGGAATTGAAAGTTCATTCATTATGTCATTTGTCCAACCAATATTTGTTAAGTGCCTAGTATGTATCAGGCAGTACTCTGGGGGTTAAGGATGCAGTGGTGAGCCCGAGAGACCTCATGGAGGCTCTAGTAGTGAAGGCGACCTTAAATAAACCCACAAATAAATATATAATTACAAACTGTGATAATATTTGAAGAAACAACAACAACAGATGCTTGAGGAAGTGACTTTTACAGGCAAAGGTAAAGGCACTGGTGAGGGCCTGATGTGAAAATGTGTTTGCCTGATAAGAAACAGAGAGAAGGCCCATGTGGCTGGAGTGTAGAGAAGGCAGTGAGATGAGAATGGTGGTGAGGGCCAGGTCAGGTGTGCCTTGTTTATAGAGTTTAGAGTTTATTCTAGACCAGTGATGGCGAACCTTTTGAGCTCAACGTGTCAGCATTTTGAAAAACCCTAATTTAACTCTGGTGCTGTGTCACATATAGAAATTTTTTGATATTTGCAACCATAGTAAAACAAAGATTTATATTTTTGATTATTTATTTTATATATTTAAATGCCATTTAACAAAGAAAAATCAACCAAAAAAATGAGTTCGCGTGTCACCTCTGACACGCGTGTCATAGGTTCGCCATCACTGTTCTAGAGCAACTTGCCTGAGGTCACAAAGAGCCTGAATTGAAAATATGGTTTGTGTATAACTGTGAGACATCATTCTTAACCATTAAAAAAGAACCATTCTTTTTTGGATTTGGCAAGATAATTCAAGAAACAAGCAGGGAAGTTTCCCTGCATTTTCCAAATGATCTTTCTTCTGGATGTGTCATCTTTCACCTCATCTGGACTGTGTAGACTAGGCAGCAGT